AGAGAGAGAGAGAGAGAGAGAGAGAGAGAGAGAGAGAGAGAGAGAGAGGTGATGGCGATGGCGGCCCGCGGAGAACCCTACAGTGGGATGTCCGCAGGCGGCGGTCCTTTGCGCGTCGACGCAAGGTGGTCGTCCAGTCACCCACCATGCACCGGCGACCGCAGAGCAGCGACCGCCCGATCTGCCACGCCGCAACCCGTCCCCGGTAGGACCCGGTAGTGTTTCGACCACGCGCCCGCTGTCCAGGAACGACCATGGGCCCGCCAATGTCCGAGCAGGTCGAAAAATAAAAATTACAAAATCGTTTTCTTTTCGGGACACTGAATCCATCCCGAGCCTCTTGGGACTCCCGATAACTTCGGGAACTGGCAAAACTGGCGGCGGTACTAGTGGTTTAACTAATCTAGAATATTCTTCTCTCATCTTCTTTGTATGTATTTTCCTTTATCTATCTCATTCTTGCCCCTGGACCGTTTCGTGATTTCTGCGTGTCATCCTCTCGCACGAAGGACCCCGCCCGCACTCCAGCCGTTCATCCGTGTGCCGACTGAGGTAGGCGCATTGGCATTTCAGCCGCACATTTCTTTTCTCGGGGCAGCGCCGTCGAAATTTTCCGTGCTTGTCGGTATTACTTGTGCAATCTCTCTCTCTCTCTCTCTGCCTGCGGTGTTATGCCTGAAAATGCGGAGAGTTCCATTCACACTTTGGCCCCAAAAGGGAATAGGTGAGTCTTCGCGGCGTGGCGGAGTGCACCCTCCCTTCTCGAACTCTACATCTCTGCGTCCTTCCCGCCCATCCTCCCTCTCTCTTTCTCCCTCTCTCTCTTCCTCCCTTCCTCCCTTCCTCCCTCGCGCCCACCCTCAGGAGAAGGACGAAGGGGGAGGGGGAGGATGTGGGATCAGGAGGACGATAGAGTGGGGATCTGGTCGGTCAGGACGGGATGCGACCACAGAGGAAGCCGAAGGAGAGTCATCGGGTCGGGATATGGTGAAGCATGCAGGGTGAGGTTGTGGAGGAGGAAGACGTTGAGGAGGGCCCTCTGGTCAATGGGAGGACGATGTAGCTCAGGGATCCAACTTGTGAAGAAGGGGTGGATCGGGACAAGTTGGGGAAGAAGAGATTGCAAGGCAGGAAGAGGATATCAGAGCGAAGGGGAGGGAACAGGTAAGGAAAGGAGAGAGCAGGATAATGACGAAGGGCCTTAATTACGAGAGGGATAGGATCAATGTGTATATGCCGAGAGAGAGAGAGAGAGAGAGAGAGAGAGAGAGAGAGAGAGAGAGAGAGAGAGAGGGGAAGGACATAGCAGATCCACAGGGCGCACATCGAGTATCGGAGAGATGCGATCGAAAAGGATCTCAACGGAGGAGAGAAAGGCGTGGAGAACGAAGGGAGAAGAGAGGCGATGGACACAGGACAAGGAGACAAGCGGATGGGGAAAAGTCGATCGTGGGGCGGAAGATCAGAGAGGGGGGGATGGAGGGGACAAGTTGAAAGATGGAATCGGACAGGCGGAAGGGAGGCAATGGAGAAGGAAGCACGGGAAAGGGGGAGGGAGAGAGAGAGAGAGAGAGAGAGAGGGGGGGGGGGGGGTGGAGAAGTCTACTTATGTAGACCCGGAAGCGGAATATGTCTGTGACATTTCCATGTGCGGGCGTAGCCGCACTTGCTTTACTTGTTCACCTCGTGCAGGTTTGTCTATCAGGAATTTTGTCAATTTTTTGTGTTTGGCTATTTCTCGATGGATAATAGTGAGTGCAGTGATTCCGTTTTTTTTTTCTTTTCTTTTTTCTTTTTTTTTCCGTCGGCTAGTTGGTCTTCCTTTCGTTTAGCTGCTAAAACAAACCTGAGTCCACCTCCATAGCTTGCTTTTTTTCCCCTTTTGTTTTGTGATTTGGTCCCTACCATTATCATTATGCTCAGTCCGATTCGAACGTTTTTTTCTTTTTTTTTTCTTTTAATTTAAATAAAACAACCTCCAGTGACAGTTACATGTTGTTTCCCATTCAGTTTTTTTTTTGTTCTTTAAGCCGATTTAATAATTGTACTATATGGTCCTCGGACCTGTTTATGTAAAAAAAAAACAAAAAAAAACAAAAAAAAACAAATAAATTGTACTGTAAGCTTCCTCCTTCATTAATAGTAAAACAACCTTCAGTAACGCATACAGTACAATTATTAAATCGGCTTAAAAAAACGCAAAAAAAAAACTGCGTTTTCCCCGGAACGCAGCTCACCTTCATCATGATTGAATTTGATCCGAAAAATAGGTTGTATACATTCATGATGCCGGTGCGTTGTGTTCGGGGGAATGCGGTAGCATGCTCGCTCCTCTCATCTCCTGTACGAGGACTTTCCGGTGAGGATCACCGAAAGTAAAAAGTAAAAAAAGGAAAAAAAAGAAGTGAAAAAAAAGGAGAGAAAAAAGTACAAAAAGCTAGGCTACCAGCCGGGCCGAGCGGGTCCCGGGTGGCCAAGGTCCCAGCGAAAAAAAAAAAAAAGCAAAACAATCCAAAAAAATCAGAAAAAAAACTATGTTATGCAGAAAAATAAACTGAACAACTTTTGCCTCAGGGTCACATCGAAATTCGTCACCAAATTCAGAATAAAAATAAAAAATAAAAATTATTTTTATTTTTTAATTTGTTTTTGGCCCGGCCGGGCAAGTGACCCCGGGCCACTCTGTTAGCCTAGAAAAAAAAGGGGAAAAAAAGGGGGGAAAAAAGGGAAAAAAAAAGTAAAGAAAAAGGGAAAAAAAAGTGAAGAAAAGAAAGTAAATAGAAAAAAGTGCTTTCATGGAATCACCTGTGTAAAGAGTTCACTTGGACGACTTGATGCCTGCTGCATTTGGATTTTTTTTTTTTTTTTTTGGAAAGTGATCAGAACAGATGCTAGACTTTATCTTTTAGCCAAAACGCCGCACCTGCGTTTTTTTTTTTCTTTTTTTTTTCCTGACATGTTTCGCATTTCTGACGCCCCTTTTTTTTTTTTTTTTTTCTTTTGCCCCCGGCATTTAGTACATTCTCTCACACTCACCGAATTTGCCTTCTGCATTTTTCCAAAAAATGTTGTTTTTCTTACAGGTCAGACCAAATTCGTCCATCCATCCATCCATTTATCAGGGAGCAATCAGAGAGCCAATCTGCAGAGAGGAAGGTAGATTGGATTTCTACACACGAGGGCTATGACGTGCAGAGGCGGCATTAATTAGTAGAGAGAATCGGCAGGAGGCTGGTCGGCGTGCAGATCATCGAGCAATCAATCAATCGATCAATCCATCAATCCATCAATCAATCAATCCATCAATCCATCAATCAATCAATCAATCAATCAATCCATCAATCAATCAATCAATCAATCAATCAATCAATTCGTCAATCAATCCATCAATGTATCAATCCGTCGATCAATCGATCAATCAATCAATCGATGGACGTGGCATTTTCTCCGATGACGTGTTGTTTCCTCTGTGGTTTACGTGATGATTGAATTGCTTGGTTGATTGGATGGATGGCGGTTTTTGTAAAGGGGAATTGGAACGTTCTATTTTGATTGCTCGACTTTATATAGTTGATTGATTGCTCGATGATTTTTGTTGAATGGCTGATGATTATGTGATTGGTTCATCAATCAATTGGTTAATTCCTTGATTTGATGGGTTAGGGGATTGAAGGGACGATATAGATCGATTTGACTAATCCATTGATTGGTCAATTAGGTGGAAAAGCGACCGACTCAGTCATCTGATCAATCAATTAATTGCTTGATCGATCAATCAACTAATTGCTCAATCAGTTTCAATCAATCAATCAATCAATCAATCAGCTAATTGCTCAATCAGTTTCGATTATTCAATCCACTAATTGCTCAATCAATCAAATTATCTGATCGGTCGTTTGGTGTGTCGAATCCTCTGATTAGATTGAATAGCCAAATAAGACTAGGAAGAGGAGGGAAAACAAGGTAGATACATACATATTCTGTATTTGGGCAGAAATGACGCGACAGATGCTGATTAAGAAGTTGGCCGATGGGTCATCAAGGGGGTTGGCACGGTGCGGATGGGCACTCCCCCCCACTGCGCGTTCCTCCTTTTCCTCCTTTTCCTCATTTTCCTCCTCCTCCTCCTCCTCCTCATCGTCATCATCATCAACACTCTCTAGGTGCCGCCGCCAGTGGTGCTTGTCGGGATCGCGTGTCGGTCCCTCACCCTGCCTCTCATCTCCGTCTTTCTTCTCCCAGCTGCGATCCATTACCACGTGGCAATCCCGATCCCGATCTTCGAGCTTGGCAGGATATGACCGACCCGCCGCCGCCGCCTCCCCCGAGGCTACCACCCCCCTCCCCACCCCCTCCCCCAGGTTCTCCCATCATCTACGACGATTATCCTCTCATCAATCTGGATTACCCTTGCCATCGTCATCTCGATGGATGTCTTCGTCTGCCGCTGCCGTTGCGTCGGGGGTAGATAGCCATCTTGCGGAGGTACTCCGGACCGAGTATGATTATGAAATACAGAACTATAAGCCCTCTCCTGCGGTCAAGAGAGGCCCTCCTGCGCCCTTTAATCTGCAGGATAAGCCTGGAACGAACGGGATCATCCTTAGGCGTTCCTTTGGGAAGGAAGACGTCGAGGTGTCGATCTGTGTGCAGCCGGAGGATTTCATGGGAGGAGGGGAAGGCGAGGATGAGATCACGGAAGAGGAGGAGGCGGAGGACGTGGCACCACCGCCCTCTCCCATCAGCTTCACTGTCACCGTCACCAAGAGCATGAATGGTCCTAAGCTCGAATTCCAGTGTTCGACAGATGGCGACGCTGTGGCCATCGATTTCCTCTCCCTGCAAGTTGCAGACGATGATGGGACGAAGGGAATTGCCTACGATGGGCCCGACTACAACGCACTAGATAATGAAGTGAAGACGGCCTTTGAAGATTACCTGAGAGTTCGGGGAATTGACAGCAAACTTGCAGCGTATGTCGTTGAAAGTGTCAGGGATAAGGAGCAGAGGGAGTATACCCGATGGCTAGAACAGGTGCGGAAGTTCCTTCTTCACGGCCGATGAGAGAGAGAGCGAGAGAGAGAGAGAGAGAGAGAGAGAGAGAGAGAGAGAGAGAGAGAGATTCGGTCTGTTCCGCCAGAGAGAGAGAGAGAGAGAGGAAGAGATTCGGTTTTATTCCGCCAGAGAGAGAGAGAGAGAGAGAGAGAGAGAGAGAGAGAGAGAGAG